AGGTACATCAGAGATAGAACAAGAGACAGAGAGATAAAAAAAAACAGTGACAAGACAAGCTGTGCAAATTGACCAAGCACAGGCAGTCTGTTCCTGCTTTGGTCTGTTTCCCTGACTCATCTTTTCCTCTCTGGATCCATAGCAGCAACGATCCATAAATCAATTCTATTTTCATGTTCCTTTGTTCCACTGCTATTAATTCTTCAACATCTTCTATTGTTAGACTTTTAAAAGACCAGGATGAATGTTGAGATGAGACATGAATAAGTCAGCAGGGATGTATTCTTTAAAAAAGAAAAACATAGCAAAGGCCAGAGGAAAAAGAAGTTCAAGGTGCAGGTTAAAGGGATGTGTATGATGTGTATAAAGGGATCATTTTCACTTAGTCATAGGTAGCATCGTGTCTGTTAGGGGAATGTATGTCCAACAGGACTCGTGAGCTAAGAGCTAGTCCAAGCTGCTGTCCCAAGGCAGATCCATTGACCCATTCTTTCCCATAACTTTTCCAAGTTTGGGTCGGTGAGAAATCAGGTTTCAGCAGAGAAGCCCTGACCTCTCTTTGGACCGTTTTGAGGGATCCCAAGGTATTATCTGGCCAAAGACGACTCGTAATCGCTGCCAAAAGTTGGAAAAGCTCCAAATTAAGGAGACCAGGAGGGATCCCAATCAGATATCTAAACCACCTCAGCCAACTCAATGTGGAGGAGAAGCAGCTCTCCTGCCAGCCCTCCTTTCTTGTTACATATAGGTGAGGACAATGGACAATGGCTGGTAAGTTGAGAGCTCGCCATTTGGCTTGATGAAGACTCTCTTCCAACTTGAAATGAGCATTTCACCATTTTCTGGTTGAGAACCATCAGCCTAAAAAGGCTCCACTGCCTTCTGGGTCCATGTTGGGTGCAATGATACCCAAGAAGAAAGCAAGAAAAGGGGCCTGGGTCAGCGAATCCTCAAGATCAAAAAATAGATCTAAGGTTAAGAAAAAAAAAAGCTAAATTAATAACTGAATTTTGAAAAAAAAAACATTTGCATACAATTTTGAAAAGGTTTTGAAGATCGGAGCTGTTTTGCGACTGCAGCTATACAAGTTAAAGTTTGGTTCATTTAGAGAAACTGGTTTTAACTTGCTATTATGTTCTGAATGGATAAACATTTACATTTTTGCTAAGGTGGGAGGTCTAACATGTATTTTGTAGGACCAAAATGTATCTGAACCTTACTGAAATAGTTGTTAAAAGCACTTAAAAAGGAGCAGCTAGACCCAAACTTGTGATAGATGTCACCTCAAAGGGCGGCTCACTAGAAACGTACCCGTTAAAGAAGCAGCTGTCTGTTTTCTTCCACATCCAGAAGCCATGTGATTGCAGCTAAGAGAGACGAGTGAACAAAGTGAGGTTTGGGGTGAGGGGAACGAAGAGGATGAAAGAGCTGGAGAAAAGCCAATTTTCCATGATGACGGTTGCGCCGAAGACGGGTGACGAGTGGGAGAAGAGTCGGAAAGTGTGTGTGCATGAGTCCTCGCTAACTAGACACAGACTGACATATTGTTGATGAAAGCCAACAGCTAACAGGGTTCATGAAAATACTGGCTTTTACACACACACACACACACACACACACACACACACACACACACACACACACACACACACACACACACACACACACACACACACACACACACACACACACACACACACACACACACACACACACACACACACACACCAGACTCCTATCAGCACCCACCTCAGCATTTAGACCCATCCAAAACTCCCATTCAGAGTGCTGTGCGGCAGATGTCAGAAAAACCGATGGAGAGTGAAAGAAATTCATTTGACGAAAATCCAGTTTGGCTTCAATATATTTTCTATTATTAGATTCAGTTTATAAAAAGGAGAACATCAGATTTGTTTAGAGTCTTGGAAATCATACATTCACTCATTCATGAAGTGTCTGCACAGTTTAATGCATGCATTCATCTATTTTACAACAAAATTAGCTGGATATCTGAACAAAGCAGATACATGTCCCTCCTTCTCCTTGCTGTGGTGTAAACCGTGACTTTTTCCACATATAGCTTTGCCAGAAATACGGTATATTGATGACAGAAAGCATTACACCTTTTGTGTCTAAGAAAATCCACTGGGCTCAGTGGGCAGCCTTGATTAATACCTCTTAACTATGAGGCAGCAGCAAGTGCACAAAGGCTCATTACTCAGACCGAGCTGTGAAGTCCAAGGGGAACCGTGATTGAACAAGTGCAGCTTGTTAAACCTGGACCAACATATGGCTTGTCAGGAATCTATTCTTGCTTGTTGGCTGAGTTTTAGCATGCCTAGCATTTTCTGAAGATGAATTAGGTAACACTTGGTGGTTGACTATTGAAACTGGAACAGACCTTGTTTAATTTGTGTGTGTACAGTGTCCTCTGAATAGGGTTGGGCATTATTTGATTCCGAACGATTCCGATTCCATTTCCAATTCCTGAGTCGCTTCGATTCCGGTTCCTAACAATTGCCGATTCAGATTCTTTCAAGACATGACATGGTTTACATGAGCCAGCTTACCACAGGTCCTACTTGATGAAATAATCTTAACTTCAACATGAATTTTTATTCTATGAACAATAACATCACCATTTAGACAAAAGCATGTTTTGGAGAAAAAAAGAAAAAGACTTGCAGCACAATCAGTGTGTTTGTTTCTGACCACAACTAGTCTGGAAGAAGCCTCTGGGATGAGAGGCTAAATGTCTCCAACATATCCAGAAACGTCCAGCTGTTTTCAGCTAAACCTCTCAGGATGATCATGTCCAGGATGGCTAAGAACTACACCTCCATGCTGCAGCAGCATTCAGTCAGAACAGGAAGTGTAGCTGCTGTCGGTAACAATCTAATGGATTTTAAACATTAAAACTCTCAACAGAAATAGTTCAAAAAGGAAATTTCACATCGTTGTGTGTGATTTATTAATATTATTATAATTATTTCTTGTGGCAGAAGCTGGTGTGGTCTACCACAGAGAAGCTGCTCTAGCATGATGATTTTAATTATTCTACAGGTTTTGTTCAGCCTTCTGACGCTCACACACACACACGCACACACACACACACACACACACACACGAGTGTTGGTGAGAGGCTGCGCCTGACTGCTGAATCTTGTGTGTTTTTATTTCTGCAGTGAGACAAACTCACCTCACACCGTCCAGAGTTTGTCCTTTAAAGCTTCTAGTAAACCCACCGTGTTGACGTATTTTAACAAGTTTCCTCTACGCTGCAGGAATTAAAGTTTACATTACAGAGTAAAAGTTCGGCAGACGTGTTTGTTTATATTTGGCCGCTGGCCGGGTGGGGGGAGGGGGACTCAGTGCTGCACAGACAGCTGGTGTGATCAGCTCTGAAAAGCGTTGATCACAATACGCAGATCACGTTTATTTTTCACGGAGATCGACCATGGATTCCTCCTCCGTCAGCCTACTAGGAATCGAAACAAAAAACTTTGAACGATTCCGGGAAAACTAACAATCCCGGTTCCAATCGATGCTCGACAGGCGCATTGCAAGCTTATCTAAAGTGTGGGGGATGTTGTCTGTGGATGTCATCAGCTGTAAATTGAAACTCAACCTCAATCCAGTAACGGGTCCGCGCATAATTCACAGCAACAAAGCCCTTCCAAAAAACATGCTTAATATTCACCAATCAGGGCTTACTTTGAACCGGATCTTGCCAGAACAAGATATGGGAACTATCTTATTTTGAAACGACCGTTCCATCAACCGTCTGCTAGGATCTGGCAACTCACGCGACAACTTGTGCTATACGCAGGATTCAAATTACGGGTGAGCTAGGGAGCTCCTGGAAGCCCTCAACAAACCCAGGGGGAGCCCGAAACGATCCTGTTTCTACTTATATTACATTATCTATGTGGACTCTCTGGGGATTATTTTGACCTGAGAGGCGCAGAGCTCTGATCGTTGTCGCGCCCCAGATAGATGCGTCCTGAGCACGGCCACAGTAACATTCTCAAAGTGTCGCCACCTCAAAAACAAATTTTACACGCAATTAATTATGTTGGCTCATATCGTTTCATGCTTTCTGTCTTTATTTGTGCCTGATGTGGGGGGGTCGCGTGCTCCGTCTCGCAGCGCTCCTCTGTGAGAGCCGGGGTGGGGGTGGGGGGGTTGCACACGTTCCGCTGCTGTTTCTCACCAGTATCAGCTGATGGAGGGCTCTAGTTTCGTTGCGCTGTTCGTCTCAGCGGACACGGTAGGGTCGGGGAGGGGGGCGGGGCATGACGCTTAGCATGGCGGGTGGGCAAGCAAAGCCTGGCGGGCCGCCAGGCTTATAAAGTGCTGGGGGAAACCCTGATCTCAATAAGAAAAGTGTGGGCGTTGAAACCCCCACATCCCCCAAGGTGCGACGCCCATGATGCTTGATGCCTAACCCTACCTCTGAAGATATACAGCAAAGGTTATGTTCATCTTACAATAATGCCATGTACACACATAACCGGGTTCTCATAAAAGCAAACACCCTCATCTGTATGGAGCTAGGATTGGGACAATATTCAGCGTAACTTGTACCAAGTTTTGTAACTTCGAACATGTTTCATCACATGTAACTTTGGATTCGTAACTTGTAACTTTAGTTTTCTAACTTGTAATTCTCAATTCGTACAACTTGAGTTTAGGGCTTCTTGTAGGACTTAAAGTTATTAAATATGCTTATATTAGAGCAGTGTGTTGCATTACTACATCAAGTTTATTGCTATAGTATATTATACTAATGTATGTGGTCTAAATGTGTTCTACAGTGTGTTAGGACTGTCGTGTTCCTGTAATGTAGAACAGTCACAGGTGTTTGTCTTCCTACAAATGCTCGGAAAAATATAAATATGCTACTTTGTGAAGAAGTTAGGACATAATATATATATACAGTTGTGGTCAGAAGTTTACATACACTTGTAAAAAATATAATATAATGGCTCTACTGCAGAGATCACTAATAGGCGGACCTGGGTCCGGATCCGGACCGAAATGCTGTCTGGTGTGGACCCGAGCCTAATGCCAAAATAAAGTTCGCCTAATTTTATAACCGCTTCTGGCCGGTGCAGCTATTGCATTCTTTACGGTAGTATTCTAGCATCCACGAACACCCACAGGCCAATTGTGCGCGAGTTTAGTCAGACCACGTGACACCAACAAGCCAATAACATGTTTTATTCCTGCCAGAAAATACAGGCGATACGTAGCGAAAATAAACGGTTCAGACGCCGGAGAGAAGGAGAGCAGCGAAGAGCAGAAATTTGAACAGAGAAAACGAGAGATTCAGGCGGAGAGCGGTGGAAAGAAGGAGACATTCAGGCTAAGAGCAGCGACAAGGAGAGATTCAGGTGGAAAGGAGGAGGAATTCAGGCAGAGAAAAGGAAAGCGGCGACAGGCGACAAGGAGAGATTCAGGCGGGTGAGACGGAGAGAAGTAGAGAAAGCAGAAATGGCAGCCTCTAAAAAACGGAAAGTGGACAGCGAAAATAGAGCATTTAATCCAGAATGGACAGAGTCATTTCTCTTTGTTCTTCCCACTGGTGGCACAAAACCTGTTTGTCTCATATGTTCAGAAACAGTGGCACTTATTAAATGTGGCAATGTGAAACGCCATTATGAGACAAAACACAAATGTTTTGAAGAAACATATCCCCTCAGATCAGAAGTAAGATCAGAGAAAATACGTAGTCTCAAAGCCCAATATGAACAGTCCACCAGGATCCTGAGCCACACGTTCACTGCTCAGCAACGAGCCCATGAGAGTTCCCTCAGAGTTTCTTGGATTTTGGGTCAGCACAAAAAACCATTTACTGATGGAGAGGTTGTCAAAGAGTGTATGACAGCAGTTGCTGAAACACTGTTTGAAGGAAAAGAAAAACAAGAAGTTTGTGAAAAAATAAAGCAAATCCCCATATCAGCATCATCTGCTACAAAGAAAAGTGAAATACTGACTCAGGATGTTGTAGCCCAGCTAGATGGAGCCATACAGAAGGCACCATGTGTAGGTTTGGCTGTGGATGAGTCCACTGATGTGTGTGATAATGCTCAGCTGTTGGTTTATGTGAGGTTTTATTACGCAGAGCAGAAAGCATTCTATGAAGACCTGCTGGGTATTACTCCTCTTCAGACCAGCACAACAGGAGAGGACATCTACCTGGCCATTATGGAGATGTTGGCAAAGAGAGGAATTGAGCCTTCAAAAGTGATTTCAATAACTACAGATGGAGCCCCTGCTATGATAGGGAGAGAAAAGGGAGCTGTAACAAGAATGAAGAAAGACAACCCTGACCTCTAACCTACCATTGCATTATTCATCAATCTGTCCTCTGTGCCTCCCTGTCAGATGAGCATGCTGAGGTGATGACTTCAGTGATGAAAATGATCAACTTTCTTAGAGCGTCCTCTTCCTACCAGCATCGCATGCTTAGAGAATTCCTCAAAGAAGTTGATGCCAATGCTGATGATCTTCTGCTGCACAACAATGTGAGATGGCTCAGCAAAGGCAGAGTTTTAGCACGCTTTTGGGCCATCAGGAGGGAAGTAGCATCTTTTTTGGCAGAGCTAAAACATCATAAGGCAACACAGTTTTCTACATTTCTAGAAAATGAGAAGCAGATGGACAATGTTGCCTTTTTGGTTGATATAACTTCACATCTAAACGAACTGAACTTGAGGCTACAGGGCAAGGACAATTCCATTTGTGAACTAATGACAGCTGTCCGTGCCTTTCAGAGAAAACTTGAAATGTTCAAGGAGGACTTGCAGGAAGACTGTGTCCACTTCCCAGCAGTGCAGGAACAGGTTCAGGGACAGCGAGATGTCTCGTCGTTTGTTGTCTTCATTGATAAACTTATTGCTAACTTCAGCAATCGTTTTGATAGCTTCAGCATTGGCCAGCAGCTCACCATGTTCATTCAGAACCCATTCCTCATCACAGATGTCAGGAGCTTCTCAAAGGAAGCCACACAGCATTTTAAATGGGTCAATGCCAGGGATCTTCAGATGGAGTTAGTTGACCTCCAAGCAAACGTGGCCATGAAAGAACTGTCTGCCAGGACTGACCCGTCCTCATTCTGGCTCCAAATGGTTCCTGAGACAGCTTTCTCACATCTAAAGAAAGTAGCCTTGTACATCCTGACCATGTTTGGTTCCACCAACAACTGTGAGGCAGCGTTCTCCACAATGAACATTATAAAAAACAAATATCGTTCCAGGCTCACCAATGAGCATCTCCACACATGCATGAGGATGGCTCTGTCTCCATTCAAGCCCAGGTTCAAAATGTTGGCAGGACAAGCAAGAGCTCACTTCTCTCACTAAGTAAAAATGTGGAAAACATTAACCTAAATATATGTTCAGTTATTACATGTGTGCAGAGTCACATTTTTTAAAATCATTTTAAGACTTTTTAGTTCGCACGTGAAGAGGAAAAATGTAAAAAATTAAGCTTTTTCTACATTTATTCTGAAGTTAGTAGTTTGTGAAGATTCAGTTGCCATGTGTTATTTTCTTGTTGACACTTTTTTCTACTTTTATTTAGTAAATGAGAGAACATTCCAAATAAATCATTTACATGTTCAACACTTTAAGTGACAATAAATGTCATAAGTATTTGAATTACACTGAAGTATTTCTGATTTGATATGCAAATTAATAATGCAGATGTTGATAAAACTGCTAGGATACTTAAATACATGTCACACTATTGTAGGTCGGACATAATGATCTTTCGGACCTTGGGCTAAAAAAATTCTTTCTGACTGGACCTTTTTAAATAGTATTTGTATACCCCTGCTCTACTGAGTGTCCCGTTATTTCTAAAACTCTGATTTTTCTCTGATAGAGTGATTGGAACAGATACTTCTTTGTCACAAAAAACATTCTTGAAGTTTGGTTCTTTAATGTCTTTATTATGGGTTAACAGAGAAACCCTAACCCAACAAATTACATTTACTCACGTTACTGTAATTTAGTAGCTCTTTTGTGTATTTATACTTTTTAAGTCGTTTTTAAAATCTGTACTTTAACTTTTGAGCATTTTCTTTAAAATGAATTGTAATTCGCTACATTTTAAATCGCATCCATTACTGAGTAAAAATAAATTGTAGGCTTAATAAATTAAAAATATTATGTGTAGCAGCGTCGGAAGAGAAAGAGACACCTGCATGAGCGCCGCATCTAAACCGGGGGGGGGGGGGGGGGGGGGGTACACTTTTGATAATGAGGACAAACAGCCATTTTTACTGCAGTTTTGCTCAAAAACATCATTTCAGTCTCTGTGATCCACTCGCTGTTGACCTCCTCTCTCCCTCCTCTCCTGGGTTGGAACCTGCACCTTCACGCACCGGTGTTACGTCATCAGAATTCTGCTCGGTTTGGTAGCCAGACTCGGTTCAGTGTTTGAAATGTGTTTCCCTACCGCTCCACACTGAAGCTGCAAAATACTGTTTAGCGTTTGTGGATTTCCAGTGCTTTGCTCATAAAACAGAAGACCGGCCTCTGTGAGTTAAAACATCCTAACACCGTTTCAGTTGTAAACATTGTGCTCCATCCCTGTGTTTGAACTCAGAAGTTGCTTCTTGATGCCACGGATTCTTTATTTTACTCCAGAATAAGAGATTAAGTTGTTACAAAAGCAGTTCAATGTAGTTAGTCATTCAAATGATTCTAACATGCTGCAGTGTGTGTGTGCGTGTGTGTGTGTGTGTGTTACACATATAGGACTGCATGAGACAGCGTGGTTTCATCAAATCCATGCATTTTATTTCTTGGTTGAAGTAATGGTGAACGAAAATAACTTCCATTTCATAAATGACATCTCAATAGTGTCTACGATAATGTTTTTCCTTATACTGGACCCATCTTTGGTCTGGGAGGTGTAACTTATCATGACACAAGCCTTTAAAACATGTTAAAGTGTTACAAGAGGAGATAAATGCATTAATTTAAAGTTCATGTTTGGAGACCAACCTTCACAGTTTGGAGGCTCATGCTGGTGAGGAGACACCGTTAGTTCTAGTAACACCTGGGCTCCCAAGGCATATTCTGACAAGGTGGATGTTTTGGGATCCTTAAGGACTCCAGTTGGATGATTGGAGGATTATTAAGGAGGATTGGAATTGGAATTAACACACTGATTTTAACACACTGATTTCAGTGGTGAACGGTTAAATGAGTGAGTGAACCCACTACCAAGGATGGATTCTGCTAACTTTAGAAATCAGCTGCTCTAAATAAGCAAGAAGGTCAGAGAGGAGCTCTAGGATGGACACGGATAAAGGAACTGTTGTAGAGGTAAAGTAGGGCAGGGCCAACGTTAGCAGCGGCCATACGGTCCATTTGAAATGTTTGAATTTCATTTGGCTTGTTATATTATGTGACAGGTTAGAGCACAGTCTCATGTTAGTTTTGTCATGAAAACTAAGATACCTCACATGCTGATGGCATCTAAAAAATAACTATTTTTTTCTCAAAATAAAGAATAATTTTAATCATAATTGAAACCTACAATCCTAGAAAAACTTTGTCTAATCAATGTGCACGTCCTGTTCTCACTGAGTGGATAGAAATCGCTCAATCAAACTGTGTGTGTGTGTGTATGTGTGTGTGTGTGTGTGTGTGTGTGTGTGTGTGTGTGTGTGTGTGTGTGTGTGTGTGTGTGTGTGTGTGTGTGTGTGTGTGTGTGTGCGCGCACACACACACGAGCGAATTGTGAACTGGCGTTGTAATTTTGCACTACTTAGATGTAGCCATCCTTACGCTGACAAAAATGTAACTAAGTAACTTTTACTTTGAGTACATTTTATTTACGATACTTTTTACTTTTACTTAAGTAAAAATTTAGGCAAGTACTTTTACTTGTACTTGAGTAAAAAATTATCCAAGTATCGGTACTCTTCCTTAAGTAGGACATTTTAGTACTCTTTCCACCTCTGTCATTAACCATTTTCTGTTTTAGGGGGCGGACGTTTGTCAGAGAAGTGGGGGTGGAAATCAGAATTAACAGTTATGGCATGCAAACATCTTACCTCTGATGAGATAAGATACAAGTCTTACTCTGCCTCCATTTGCTTTTCTTTCACTGATAAAAAGGGCATCTCCACAAATAACATAAGCCTGAATGTGTTCTGCTATTTTGTGGAGTTGCTAATGCTAACAATTAGCTTCTACTAGTCGAGATGTGCTCTGCTTTCTCCTGGCTGCAAGACCTACACAACCTTCCAGGTAAAAGGCCAAGGTGGGCAAGGCCATGAGTGATAATTTTCCCCATGACATAGATGAGGCTTCTTCTTATCCAAGCATTCCCCATCTATTTTCTTTCAGTGTCTAATGCAGGCAATGCGGGTAGAGGACTATTTTCACATTTAGCACATATGTGACTCTAAGTGACCGACTGTATTAAAAAGACCGTTACTACGTGGTTTCTCAGTGAACAAGCCCTTTAATGAAAGTGAAACGATTTCCATGCTTGGAATTTAAATAAACATCCTCCTTCCTGCCAACCTTGTTAGAGCTGTGCATATTACTGGTTTCCAGGAATAAATGAGTAATACTACTGGCACAGCCGGTGCATCTGATACAATCTGAGAAATACATCTAAAAATATACAGCTGCCTGTGACAGAGAAACGCAGCACTAAAAACGGACATGCAGGGCTCTTGACAAAGGATTTGGGGAAATTGAATTTGCTGGCAATCAAAGTAAATAAAAGCATATAAACAATAACTGAACAATCATTAGGTTAAACAGCAAAACCATTAACCCCGGAGCCGTGGATGAAGAAACCAGAAGAGTGAAACTGGAGAAAGATGATAGATGACTGTTGTTTCAAACAGAAGACAGAGAACCCTACTCGACTGAGCCTGACTCAGCGATGCTTATGTTAGTTTGAGTGTTCTTGTGTATTAAATATATGCATGTCTATAGAAGGGCCACGTTTGTGTGCATAAATGTGATCCAGTATACTGTAATTGTACACTTTTAGCAGCTATCAAGTGCGTCAACGCCTGTCATCAGCCCACGCAGCTCCATCTGTTCTGCTGCTTCTTGCGGCCTGACTCTTCAAACTGCAGGTTTTTACATGATACATAAAACTGAGGTAATACAATTCTCTTTTCCTTAGGTTCCTTGAATGCCATCTGGATTTAACCCTGAGGTGCTGGAACAAAACTGTCTTACTAAATCTAAAATAATATTCATCTACCACACATATACACAGCTGAAATAGAAATCACTTATAGACGAGCAGGTAATTTATTATTATTTTTTTATTTAACCTTTATTTATCCAGATGAGTCGATTGAGAACTCATTCTCATTTACGACGACGATCTGGCCAAGAGGCAGTAGCAGCAGACACATAATTAGCTTTACATAAAAAAAAGCAGGCAAGATAAAAAATACCAGATAAAAATAAGATAAAACTGTTATATAATGTACAAGCAATCAAAACAGCCTTAAAACAACCTTTAAGTACTCAGAAACAGGCACACTGATCAGAAGCTATAGATTGCAATTAATTATTGAAGGTAGATAATAGAATGTAGGTAGTGAGCTTCAGTGATTTTTTGCAGCTGATTTCAGTCGTTGGAAGCAGCAAACTGGAATGAGGAGTGGCTAAAGGAGGTGCGAGCTTTGGTAATAACCACAGAAATTAAGTTACCGGAACGTAAATTGCGCTAGTTGTTGGAAGTGATGAGTAATGATGAGTGAAGATATGACAGAGTTCTACCAGTGTGAAGTCTAAAGTTATTACCAGGCCAAAAGAATGTCCTCCTTTGGGTTCTGGGTCTGCTCTAGGGCTGAGGACCCTTCAGAAGAAGGGGACCAAGAAGTATCCTAATCAGATCTGTAAACCACCTCATCTGACTCCTTTCATTAAGGAGGAGCAGCAGCTCTGCTTCAAGCTCCATCCAGATGATGGGAGTTCCTCGCCTTATTTCTGATCCAGGATCTTGTTCATTCAGCCACAAATCACATGATCATAAGTGAGGGTAGATTGTTTAGCTTTCATCACCTGAACAAGAAACCAAGACACTCAAATTCCTCCATTTGAGGCAAAGACTCTGTCCCAACCTGGATATACGCTATTATGGGATTGGGAAATAAAATGAACCTAAAATAATATAAATAACTCTCTGTGTTGTATTG